CCCGCCGGTCCCGTCCCGTCCCGTCCCCTCCGGTCTCCGCCACCCCCCGACCCCCGCGCGGGGACACACCGGCCGCGCGGCCTTCCCTGGTGGCCGCGGCAAGGCGGCCCGGGCCCGCTGCTGCAGCCAGCAGGGAGCGAGTCCCCATTCCAGCAGGAACCGCGGATCGCTTAAACTCAGATTATAAATATTACAAACCAAGCGAGCTAGCGCAGCCGCAGCACAAAGGCTAGTAACGAACGCAAATTAAGACACAGTCACTGCAGGTGGGTTCTCCACACACAAACACTTGCTAAAGCCATTTAATGCCTCCCCTATAAAACACTGGGCCACCGGTGCGCTGACCGTTGCACAAAAGCTTCAGAAAAGGAGCTCGGGGACTGCTGGACAACACCGTGGGTGCCAGCCCCTCACCCAGCAGCTTGGAAGAACATGGCCGCTTCTGTGGACTGGGGAGCCACCAGAGGGTTGCAGCCCCCCGCATCTGTGGCCCAGCAGATCTGCCCCAGTTTTCTCATACGTTCACACTGGGGAGGGCAAGTCACTCACCACGGGGTGACCCCCGAGGCAACTAAACACCTGCCAGCCTGCCTCGCTCTTCCCGTGAGAGGTGTCTCATAGGGGCATCGTTTAGAGCACGAACTTTGAGAAATAACCATGCGGACGCAGCACAGGAGCTAAGCTGCACCTTCGAAGGGGCTTTCCCCCACCTGCAGGCTCCATGGCCAGGCCTCTACCACACTCGGGGCAGCCAGCCCCACACACTGAATGCTCACTGGCATCTGCTCACCAGCAAAGCAGTTTTGCTCTTCAGAGCTGCATAAAAGGGGCAGGGTGAGGTGCTGTAGAGCGCACAACCTCCAGCAGCTTTGCAGTGGCAGCCTTATAAGACACAGATTTCCAGCATCAAGACACCGTAAGATTTCCCTAAAAGCAAATATCAATTTCAAAGAGCTAAACTTGGTCTTAAAAAAGCCAGGCTTCTTGAGCCCAACAGCTGCCTACTTGTGGAAAATGGATGATCTACAATAAAAATACATCAAAAAGCATCTTTGATGTTTTTCAGCTGCCGGACAGCCAGGTCAACTGGGAGGTTGAATTTCAAGTTGCTCAGGCGACTGAGAATGTTCAGCGCACTCTCAAAGCCCGTGTTTGCCATGTAGCTCCATGGCTGGTAATGGGACTGTACCAGAGCTCCAGATTTGCAGATCAGATTTACCCAGGAGACCAGGCGCTGCTCGTTTAGCGCCATACACACCAGAGCTTTCAGTTCAGAGTCTGCACTGCGCTTGAAGGGGTCGTGCTCCGTGAGTACAGTGTGAATCGCTGTCAGCAGGCTCTGTTTGGGGGTTATGGCCACTCCTCCTGTCACAGGCAAGGCAAAGGACTGGGAGAGCTTGCGAGCCGGGGATTCCACAAAGGCTTGTCCGTTCTTAGTGTTGTAATACTTCACAAAGAGCTCCCAGGGGTGCATGGTCTGCGGCGACGAGGTGAATGCAGGAATCAAGCATGCGATGGGTGCCAAGACCAGGCTCATTCCTTGAGAGGAGGCATAGAGCCCGTGAGCCATCAGGTCTCGCAAAGCAATGGTCAACTCCTTCCGCACAGCTAGAGTCAGCTCATCTCTGCCTCCTAAGGGAATGTCCTGCAGATCAGAGGAACTGGTAATGTGGTCCTCCAGCTGGTGTTTCACAGCTAGCTGCCTCACCCGCTCTACTGACAATTCCAGTTTCTTAATTAAGGGGGAATAGTCCTTGTTGGCTTGGTCCTTCTGCCAGAGGGTGCGAGGAATCTGACCAGTAGCACAACCAAACTGACTCACAGCAAATATTTGTAGCACAGCAAGCATGCGACGCATGAGGTGCAGGCCCGTTTCTCGCATCTTTCTGGCATCTTCTGGGTTCACTGATCAGGTTAGAAAAGAGAAAAATACTCTCATTAAGGAATCAACAGCTCTGCTCTTCCATACACACAAAGGGAGAGCAAATGTCTGCTCGCCCTCTGCCAAGGACTCTCCTCCTCCTTGGGAGCTTTTGTCACCAAGACTGATGCTACTTTTTCTAGTTTCAAAGCACTGAAGCCAACCAGAAAAGCAAACATTTGCATGGCCTGTTCTCGACAATCAGGTCATCTTACAAAGAAGAAATCCTACAACAGCTTTCCTAGTGGGCGTATACACAGCGAGGAAAGATCATTCTTTAGACACGATGACATCACATGGGTAATTAGGAGATACCAAAACCTTTGCTGAAGCAGATCATTGCCTAATTTCAAGAAGCATCTTGTCTCAGCAGGCTAACATACACTGCTTACTCCTGATGCCATTACTAAATTCAATTTGCAAGAGTAAGACCCAAAGTCCATCTGGGCCAGTATTCTATCTCTGACTAGCAGCAGATGCCTCAGATTACAAGAGGTAAAGGTCTTGTAGTATTTTCTCTAGTATATTATTCTAGCTCCAATAAATTCATGTGCTAAGTAGGTAAGTCTCAAATTATAAAGAACACTGAATCCATCCAGCTCACTGTACCTGCTTGCAGAGCTAAGAACTCAAAGAGCATTAATTACAGTCCAAGACCAACAGCATGTACAAGACAAGGCTGCTCAGTCTGTCTGCATTTTGCACTAAGTATCAGAAGTCCCTTCTACTCCTGATCTCCGCTGAGGACCAATCCCACCCTCTAGGCCGCACATTCAGGTTCTGTGACTACTCTAACAAACCCATGGAGGTAAGTGGACACAGGCCTTCTGTCAGTGGGAGCAGGAAAGCACAGAAACCAACTGCCAGGAAAAAAGCAAAGCAGCCTAGCATGACTGGATGCTGGTTCACGCTTGCTGAACCTCAAGTAAGAGACAGCAAGAGCAGTGCGGAAGCTCTGAGCCAAGCAGTGCGCACCTCTATTTCCAGAAGGCCGTGTATTTGGTTTGTAGGAGCCACCGCCATCTTTTCTGCCTGCACATTCACAGTGTCCGTCTTCCGCCTTACCAGAGCTTCCAACTTCATCTAGAACAAGAATTTCATGTCACACTATTATCTCACACTTGTGCATTTAAGCTGTGTATCCCAGGTATTAAGGTCAGTATTCCTTAGACCTCTCTGCACCGTTTTTGTCAGTCTCTCGTTCTCCCCACCATCAGTTCAGAGAGATCTGTACCTCCCTGTGACCCAGAGACTCTTCCTGCATCCTCTGACATCTGTGACCTCCCTCCTCATGACTTTTGTCAGGAAATTACAAAGCAATTCAATCTGCTCATCTAAAAACTCAGCACTGACCCTGAATGAAGTTGATGAACATTTCGAGGTCCCTTATCTGTGTCTTAAGTTGCTCCACCAGCTGCTCCTTCACCCTGGCTGGATTAACAATCTGTGCTATGGCAGCATCCACACGCTGTCGCAATTCCTCTGGAGAGAGCGTTGCAATATCTTCACTCAAGTCCATGTCCAGCTTCTTTATCAACTCATTTATAATCATCTGCAAAACACAAGTTAGTAGCATGATCTCACCATGTGGCGCTGCTGCCCATGAACTTCAAAATACTCCTTTACCCACTCATTGCCTTGGAGACAGGCCACCTTTGCTGCACATAGAAAACCGCAAAAGACGACAGGTTTACACATGCAGATGAACTACTGATACTCTACTACAGCCAGTGGTGAGAATTACGGACTGACCAACTCCGACAGTCGGTAAGAGGCTCACAAATGCTACGAAGTACAGGCAGAAGGACTTTGCAAGCCTTACCCGTTGTCTTTCCATAACCACAGACTGTGGCAGAGAATCATAGCTGCCCTCTTGGTAAGCAAACGTCTCCAGGTCATCCAGCTGTGTCTTGAGCTGCAGGATCAGCTCTCTCTGCTTCTCCTTCTGGACCTCAATTTGCTCCTGCTTCTCTTGCTCGCTCTGAAAAAAAGTTACCAGTAAATAAAATTGAAGATTTATTGTCATAGCCAAACCCCAGAGAACAGGATCACGGTATGAGGAGTGTTTCCCTCAGTTCATACACTTAACCAGTGAACACTGCCTGCCAGTCTGAGAGAAAGATATGCCTGAACATCAAGGAGAGGTACCAGCCGCATCACCTCATCTAACAAAGGAAAAGCCTCTCCAGACCTCCTGCGCCCGAGCCCCGTCTCACAAGGCTGGGATCCAGAAGCACTGTTGCAAGTCGCCAAATAACGTGTACGTATCAAAGATCCTCTGAGTCACCGCCGTGCCTGGGAGTGGAGCAGTGACTCCCAAAGCAGGGCTTTAACGCACGTCCACGCCAGCTGGCTCCAAGTTGTCAGGGACCCACACGCTCCCGTGACTGAGCTTCATGCAAACCTGCCAGCCTGGTCTCTCCCCGGAGCCGGCCGCAACCCGCAGCGGAGCGTGCGGTCCCTCTGGATGGCACGGCATTAGGTGGCCGCCGCAGCAGCCGCTGCTTGCCTCGGCCACCGAGCTCCCCCTCCGCACGTCCCCACCGCGAACAGCGGCACGGTCGCCGCCAACGGGCTCCAGCACGCCGGACGCACGTACCAACCCCGGTGCGGGCGGCACGGAACAGAAAATCGCCCCACACCGCCGCCCGAGAGGAGACGGTATTCTCCTCGCCCCGGCAAAAGCCGTCGCTCTGCCGGCACCGGGGCCGCAGAGCCGGCTCGGCACGGCCCGCGCCCCCCCGCCCCGGCAGGGGGTCACGGCGGGCGCACTCACCGGGGCGTCGCCGAGGCCGTGGGCCAGCGGCGCAGGGCAGCCGCGGAAGGCGAAGTCCTCCAGGTCGCGGAGCAGGCGCTGCTGCTCGGCCGGCCCGGCCCGCGCCACCTGCCGCAGCCGGAACTGCACCTGGGCGAAGTGCGAGCCCAGCGCCAGCAGCG